ATAATCTTAGCAGGCAGAGAAACACGGATTTTCAGTATACCGATAGAATGTCAGAATTTAGAATCACTATTGGAAAAGTTCAATAACTGACGGAATCATCAGTTATTCAAAATGTGAATTATCAGGATCATATCTTATTCGGACAGTTTTCAGAAGTTGTACGTAATCAGAAGGGTATTCAGAATCCTTTACATCTATGTCAATTGATCGATAATCGAACAATCTTGAGAACGAAGATTCAGAATCTTAATAATCTATGTCGACTGGTCAATTCATTTTCCTTTCAGGGTATTTTCTCGTTAATACCACAAATTCTTGTCCATAGATCATCTTCAGAATCATCGCTGAATAGATCTTCCAATGGTCTTTATTTCGTTTCCAAGCTTCCACGATATCATGACATACTGACATGCTTGATTTGTAGTTCATAACCCATTGTAATTGTACACTACGTAAACTCATCAGAGTTTCCACACTTATCCAACTCACTTATTCAATCCGCAGTCCTTGTGGTTACTTAATTTATTTAGCATTCAAGTTCATTCCAGAAACTTCGGGATTTTATAGAGTAATTCAAGTGTTCCTAATTTTTAGACATGCTGCACTTCTGTTCCATTCAATTTGGTCTTCGTGGTTGATTTGTCGAACAAACGTCTAATTCTTAGTACTGAATGCGATCCAGAGTTGAACTAAGTTGAATACTTCCAAAATTTATCATCGAGTCAAACTTAAGAAGACGAACACGCATTCCAGTAATATTTATGTCATTCAGGTATTGACATAGCTTTAGGGTTAATCTACTCACTTAAATTGTGTTTCATTACTTTTAAAGGTAGGCCAATACCTATGCTTATTTGGATTCCTTAATTAATCCAAGGCATTTACTTGGTATAGGTCATGAGGGTATTTTGGTAATTTTGGTGTTCAGTTTTACTCCATTCATTTCAGAGCTTGAGGATATCCAATCATTCCTTAGCTTGGTGATATTCTTGGGTCATTTCCATTACATGGGTATTTTGGTCATTTTACAGATCCACGGTATTTCAATCTTTTTCCTCTATCTGGTCTTATTATTTAATTCCAATTTATATCTTTTTCCTCCATCCGATCTTATTATTTAATTCAATCTCATCATTTGTTTCAGTCCTTTCGAATAATTCTGACAGCAGAGTACCCCCGATAAATTTTTCTTCAGGTATTTACTCATTTCTCGGATATTTCGGGTCAAGTGCCTTCTCAGATTTTACAAACGAAAAATCAGGAATTTTCCTGAACTAAGTCAGGATCTTAACAATCAAATCCGTACTTAATCGAGTTAAGTACGAATCCTCAAAGTATTTTCTCATTCAGCGTTAACTCAGACTATTCTACCTCTTAAGGGCATTTCCATAATTTCTTAACCAATATTTTTTCGATATTAGCTCTTAACGAAAATAATATAATTTAGAGATCCTATGATTAATTGCTTTCTTGAACACTCTCTGATCTTGAACGGTTCTCTTAACAGACTTCTAGTATCCTTCACAAACTCTTCTAACACTCTCTGATCTTGAAACGGTTCTCTTAACATACTTCTAGTATCCTTCACAAACTCTCCTAGGATTAAAACGTTATCCATAATTTCCAAATAAAACTAACATTTCTTATGCACATCAATATTTTTATCAGATAATATGTTTGTAAAATCCTCTTACCTAACTTCCATATTCAATCTGTCTTTTATAACGTAAGGGTATTTCGTAATTTTTACCCTACCGGAGTATTCTCATAATTTCTCACCCAAGTACTTTTAGCATTTAACCTTTGATGAAATAATTATAAGTTGCAGATACAGGGCTGATTTCTTTATCACCAATCACAAACTTGTAATTTAATCTAACAATTTCTCAATCTCTTATATTAATCATTCGATCCGTAATCAGTTACAGAATTTCTGCAACATTCATATCGAGTGTATAATTTATTTTAACTCCACCAAAGTGACCAACATTATCTTATTCATGCATTTACCAATATCAACATGTTCCATAAAGTATAAAGAGGTAGTAAAGTATTACCTCGATTTCCGTGCAATACTGATCGACCATAAAAATTCCATTCGATCCGTAATCAGTTACAGAATTTCTACAACATTCATATCGAGTGTATAATTTATTTAACTCCACCAAAGTGACCAACATTATCTTATTCATGCATTTACCAATATCAACATGTTCCATAAAGTATAAAGAGGTAGCAAAGTATTACCTCGATTTCCGTGCAATACTGATCGACCATAAAAATTCCATTCGAACGCCTTTGATCTTCAATTCAACTTCCAATAATTCTTCAGATACATATCAACATAAATTATATCAGAAACGGAGCTTAATTGCGATAAACGAATCGAATCGGGTGATAAATCAGTGAAAGACGGCTTACCGGGTTCGAATTTGGCGAAACGGACTTCGGATTCGGATTCAGGACGTCGAAAGCATAAAATATGACTTTTCGGAAATTTGGAATTTTCGGTCAAAATCAAAGTCAACGGGTTTGACCGGCAATTTCGAGACCTTCGGGTTTGAATTTCGAAAAACGGACAGTGGAATCGGATTTGGAACGTCGAAAAATGTCAGGATAGGTATACTCGGTCGAAGTCAAAGGTCGTTTAATGCCCGGTCAAAGTCGGTCAAAGTTTTGGTCAACAATGGTCAACGCCGGTCAACGGGTCAGCGGGTCGGGTCAACTGGTCGGATAAACGGGTTGGGTCGGGTCGGGTTATGACCGGTCAAACCGGTCAACTATCCACCAAAACCGGTCAAACCGTTCACTTTTGTCTTCCCCACGCGCAGTGGCGGCGCGTGGAGGTGCGTGAACAGTTCCCTGATATCGGAAAATTCCCAAAAAATTCCTAAAAATTATTTAAGCGATTTCGAGATACTTACAAAGCTCGGTTCAAATTTTGAACGGCGAGAGCTCGATTTCAACGAATCGGAAACTTTGACCGCTTCACCTCCTCACGCGCCGCCGTCAACGGAGATCAAGGATGACACCGGCTAACTCGGAACGATGCAACGAACACGATGGTGCGGGAGGTGTCGTAAACGGATGACCCGATCGTCGTGAATCGATGAAAAACCAACTAAAACTGAGTTATTACCGACGATACTTTGAATTCACGACGAACGGCGATGCACGACGAAAGGTTTGAGGGGTTTGTGGTTGACAACGAACACGATGGTGGTTTGGCTCGTCGTTTGGAAGTCGACGCGAGTATCGGAGTTGGAAGTTGGATTGTTGGAGAGGGGAAAACTGGAAAATATGCGTTTGCGCACGGGAAAGAGATTTATAATTCACAATATATAAACAATGGGTAAACCAAGAGTTTAGCCACTGAATTTATGCACTTCATAAAACGGTCTGCAACTTGAAATCTTATAATTTAATCCCCAATTCCTTCCAAAAATACCAATTAAATTCACCACTTTTAATTTCTTAAATTTAGCCCCTAAATTAGGGTGTTACAATTATAATTTTGAATATTTTTTTAGTAAACTAATTTTTTAGAGTAAAGTACACAAATGATCTACTGGCTATATGATATTGCTTATTAAGTCGCTCGATTATTAAAAGTTATAAATAGTCCTCCGACTATAGAATGTTACTTTTAGGTCATTTAACTATTAAAAGTTACAAATGGTCACTCGACTATTCATTATGTTCTAAACTCATCCTTTTTCGTAAAAAATTGATTGTTGTCTAAGTTGGACGTTAACATGCTGAGATATGATAGTCGTTTGAGATTCTGAGATTAGATTTTATCATATCACAATCATCAGCATATTAACGTTCAACTCATAATACTATCATTTTTAACTAAAAATGACGAGTTCGGAACATAATTAATAGTCGGGTGACCATTTTGTAACTTTAATAGTCGAGGGACTCAACAAAACAACAGTCTATAGTCAGAGGACTATTTATAACTTTTAATAATCGAGATACTTAATAAAGCAATATCCCATTGTCGAATAACTTAATAAATTAATATCCTATAATCCAGAGGGACTGTTTGTATACTTTACCCTCATTTTATTTGCATAAAAAAAAATGTTAACAGAGCTGACGAACAAATTCCAGCAAGAGCAATTCCAAAACTTTTTTTCTTCAATGTCTAAATTTAAAGCTGATAACCACCGATCAGTTAAAAGCTTTGTTTCACCACTATTGCATCATATCCCCCAACTATCTAATAAATTAAGCCATCATTATCCTTTGCGTGCAAATGCTATAAAATCCTCCCCCCCCCCCCATGCAATCAATTTCACCAAACATTTGATCAAAAAAACATAGTCAGACATGATGAAGTCACCAAAGGTATCGAGAAAAACGATTATGGCTGCGGTTCCATCGTTGTCGTGGTGGGGTTATCACGGGTGTTATTACCATAGCTGATTTCACACAAAATGTTAAGTACAAAATGTCTCCACAACCAAGGCGGTGACCGACTTTTGTTCCTTTTCTCCTTATCCAGATCTTGCCTCAAACCCTCGGCCTGTTAACGGCACTGACCCTAAAGTGTTTCATTGCCAAGACTATCATAGCAGCCGAGGAAGCCGTCCAAGAGGTTCGAGAACTATACCGACTCGTTGGTCGTTCGGGCCAAGAGCAAGGCATTGACAAAGATGGCCTTGGATGACTGTAAGGAGATGATGAACCATGCCCTTGATTCACTTGAGGCGTCGCGCGACGATGTCGGTCATAGTGACCTGCTTAACATAACGACGGTCGCATGAATGATCTTCGGACGTGGTGAGCGCGGCGATATCGTACCAACAGTCGTGCTTGGATGGTTTCGAACACGATAAAACGATGAAGGAGCCGTGCAAGATGGTATTGCTGATGCTAGTGAAATCACACGTAATGCTTGACGAGTGTGACGAAGTTATCGGACTTCATTCTAATTTCGGTATTCGGATAGATGTTCATGATTCTCGTCGACATCTTTCCGATGAGAATAAATGGTTACCCTTCATGTTCTCCGGAAAGACCGGCACCTTTTGGCTAGGACTGATAAAGGAATTGAAACCAATGCTGTTGTGGCCAAGGATGGCGGTGGACAATTCAAGACCATTGGTGCAGCCCTAGCAGCTGCTCCCAAGAAATCTAATGTCCGACATATGATCTACATTAAGGCTGGAGTATATGAGGAGTACATCACCGTGGACAAACGTTACACCAACATCCTTATGTACGGTGATGGCCCGAGAAAAACTATCGTCACCGGTCGCAAGGCTGTCAAAACGCGGCAGACGACCATTTGGCGGACTGCCACTTTTTGTAAGTTTCTAACAACTAAGGCCATGAATAACAATTAGTAACATATGTAATATGCAACATAGTGGCTCTTCGAGTCCAATCAGACAAATCATCCTTCTTCAACTGCAGGATTGATGGCTTCCAAGACACATTGTACAACCAAGCAAACCGTCAGTTTTTCCGCAACTGCGTCGTCTCCGGTACCGTCGACTTCATCTTCGGCGACACCCACCGTTATCCAGAACTCGTTGATCGTTGTGAGGAGGCCAATGGACAATCAAGTTAACACAGAATGGACAATCAAGTTAACACAGTTTACAGCACAAGGCAGGGATTTCATCGATGAGAACACCGGTACGTGATCGATTTCATCGATGAGAACACCGGTACCGTGATCCAAAACTGCAGGATTGTACCGGACCAAAAGCTCTTCCCGTCAGGTTCAACTTCGCGACGTACTTGGGCAGGCCGTGGAGGAAATTCTCGACGACCGTCATGGAATCCACTTGGGAGACTTGATTAAGCCTGAAGGATGGATATCCTTTGAGAAACCTGACGATTTCGAATCCCTGGACACACTGTACTACTCCGAGTACAACAACCGTGGCCCTGGTGGTAGTAACCTCACCTCCAGGGTTAACTGGAACGGTTATCACAAGATCGATAGGACCACCGCCAAGAAATTCACTACCCAATCATTCCTTTTGAGCAGAGAGGAATGGTTACCCTTGACCGGCATTCCTTTCACTTCTGTGTTGAGATATTAGATTATCATGTCGTCCAGTAAGTAATCCTAATGCAAAGTGGACTATGCTGTGGGTCTTTTATTTGTATTAGCATTATTTCAGTTTAATTTTGTATTATCTTTATTTTACCATTTGATGTGCCAATCTATATATCAACTTAAGGTGAATTTTTAAAATTTTAAGAAATAAAAATAAAACAGTAAGTAATCCTAATGCAAAGTGGACTATGCTGTGGGTCTTTTATTTGTATTAGCATTATTTCAGTTTAATTTTGTATTATCTTTATTTTACCATTTGATGTGCCAATCTATATATATCAACTTAAGGTGAATTTTTAAAATTTTAAGAAATAAAAATAAAAAAATATTAAAAATATATAATAATTTAAAATTTTGAGAATATGACTTTTCTCGTCTACTTGTTCTCTTGATACATTCTTTATTCGGTCTTTAGTCTCAGCTTTCTTTCTCATACCACTAGGGATGGGAATGAGATTCGAATTAGACGGTTCTGTCTCGGTCAGGTCGAATTTTTTTTTAAAAATTAGATTCGGTCGGGTTGAATTTTTTTAAGGTTATGTTCGGGTCGGATTGAGTTCGGTTTAAGATGAAAATATACAACCCTAAAAAATTATAATTTTATCTTATATATATTTAGGGATAATTGTAATAATAATTCTCTCTATATTATGTTCTTTTAATAAATATATTATTTCAGGTCATGTCGGTTTCAAATTTTATCTCAAAAAATCGGGTCAAATGGAAGATATATATTTTTCAGGTCGGGTTCGGATCACATGGAAGATTTAAAATTTTTAGGTCGGGTGAACCTAAAATTCGGCCCAACCCGACCCATGCCCATCCCTACATCCACTAAGTAGCATTAGCCATTAAGTGGCCATGTTGATTGGTCAGATCACTCACAATTCGATTTGGAAGTGAGCCAAATTTAATTAGTTGATAGGAGGTTCCCTATGAATGGTAATTTTCATGGCAATAAATATAACATATTAGGACTTTTGATGCACAAAGTTTTATATAATGTTCAGATTATTTAAATTTTTATTCTTAAATCATAATATATTAAAGGTGTAATCATGTTTAGTCTTATATATTCCTGTGTGTTAAATCAATTAAATAAAATTTAATAGACATTTTTATAAAGAAATATACAAAGGTGACTATTTAACATATAGTATATCTAGCGATTGCACATAATCTTTAATTGGAAATATAACTTCAACTTAATTTAACATAATTTTTAAATTTGAACATAATCTTTGTCAAAATAGAAAAATCATCAAATAAGATTATCAATTTTATCTGACCTTTCAAGATAAATATGGATATCCCAAAATAACATATATGGTAACATCAATATACATTTGCGACTAAATGTGGTAACTTCAAGCGCCACACTTCAAGCGGTAACATTTTGTTTGGCAAAAGGGTAATTTCTAGTAGTAGATTCACTTTATCATTTTCGCTTCTATTATATTTTCGTATCGATTTAGTCTTGTCAATTGCATCATTTTATAAACTTAAAACTCCTAAATTATAATCCCGAAATCGTAAACCTATTACCTCTAAACAGTAACTTAGGATAATTTAAGGTTTTAAGTTAGGAGAAGGGTATAGAACGATACAATCAAACAACTTTGAGAGCTAAATTGATGCGAAAATACAATAGGAACAAAAATGATAAATTTGGTCTACTATATGAACAAAGGTGACCGTTAAACCCTTTTTTCTACATTGGCACTGCATTTAGCTAAAGGCTTTCAAGATTCTAAACTAAATCCGAGAAAGGAGATGGGGGAAGTTCTACGGTGCGGCAGCCTAATATACGGCTAAAAAAAGACGCTACTGTTTTTGTTATTATTTTAAATAATAAAACCGGTAAAAAATGACCGAAAACATTATTATTTTTAGAGAAAATAACCTCAGTGACCAAAAATCCCATATAATATACGATTTTAACCAACTTTTTCCGGATTTGCCAAAATGACCAACAAAATCGCAATGCGATCGCTAATTCGCAACGTGATCTCCATTATCGCAAATTCGCGTTGCATTTTCGCAATGCGATAGTTGAAAATCGCGTTGCGATGGTCTACAGTATCGTTGCGATTTCCCCAATTCGCAATGCGAATAAGTAAATCGCAACGCGAATTGGGAAATTCGCAATGCGAATAAGTAAATCGCAACGCGAATTGGGAAAATCGCAATGCGATACTGACTATCGCAATGCGATAATAAAAAATCGCAACGAGATACTTACTTTCGCAACGCGATACTGACTTTCGCAACGCGATAATACATAATCGCAATGCGATTTTCAAAGCGCCATTAGTATCCTGGCCAAGTATTTTATTTTTAAATTCCAAACATGAATATATATATATTGGAACACTGAACTGTCCACAGTATATCCCGTAATCGCAACTCATAACCTAAAACCTAAAATCACAACTCAGTCCCATCTCCATCTCTCACTCTCTCACCCATCTCCGACGAAATCCGTCCCCATCTCCGGCGAAATCCGTCTATCTAAATCTCTCAGAGCCACCCTCACAATCAGAAATGGAAAATCAACCAAATCAACCAACGAGTGTTAGTTTTTTTAATTATTTTCTTTTTGAAATTTTTGCATTATTATTAGGTTTTTCATATTGAAATTGATGATAAGTTTACTGGTAATTTCAATAATAGATTAACCATTTCACTTAGATTGCTTATTAAATCAACCAAGAATCGCAACGCGAAATGCAAATCGCAACGCGATTTTAGTTTCGCGTTGCGATTCTCGTTGCGATAGTCATTTTCGTGTTGCGATTTTCATTTTCAGAAACTATTCTTCTTCTGCAAATTGAAACTTGAAATTACATTACTTCAACCAAAAACAAAGACAAATACGAAATTCACAGTGTTGCATATTTAAGTTTGAAGAATAAACTACTACTATTTATGTTTATTGTTTTTGGTATATCTTCACAGTGTAGTTTTTGGTATATCTAATTTAGTATGTTTATTGTTTTGTAGAACTTTTATTCAGCTCAATTGACCTTGAGAAATAAAGTCAGCCTGGCCAAAACAATTGCGTCGAAGCTTTCACCTGCACAAAGAAAAATGTTTGAGGATACATGCTTCGGGCCATGGCTGAAAGTACAACATCCCGTGGAGATGCGATGTTGACACACCTGTTTCTTCAAACCATGACTAGAGATCTACCAGAGACTATACAACGTCGTGATGAAGAGATATGGTTTGATTTTCCACCGGCGTATACGTGTTTTGGGCGGGAGGAGTTTTGCTTAATCACTGGTATACGCTTCGGACATGATGAGGTCGGTACACTAGACACATTACCCGCCCATCATGGCTATCCCGGGTTTTTCCTGAGCTGGAGAGGCCGAGTCTACACGTAGAAGACCTGACAAGATTTTTGAATAATAAAGATGGTTTTACTCGGATGGATGACGTCGACGTTGTCCGAGTATGCCTTCTAATTCTTTTGCATGCCGGTTTTTTTAGGCAGAGAGGCCAGACAACCTATTCCAAATGATCTAATCAAATTGGTAGAAGACCTAAATGCGTGGAACCTGTTTCCGTGGGGCTCGTATTTATGGAAAGCTACATGGAATAAGTTATCGTCTGCCTTGGATGATCGAAAAGTTTGCATGGCGATGGTTCCAAATACACTTTGACAGGCTTTATTTGAGCCTTTAAGGTAAGAATTTTTATATAATGTTTCCAAAATTATAAGTAATTATTTAACAATTACTAATGTTTGTTATTATATTGTTTGTAGATTTGGATATTTGAGGCCTTTCCCGCCATGAAGACATATGCAATAAAAACTTCAAATAATATTCCCAGGGCTATTTCCTGGAAGAGGAAACGAACCTTGCAATGGGAAGATTTACTACGGTATACGACAATAATAATGTAAGTTAACATAATACTACCATATGTTTATAAACAAGTTATTACTAGTACACATTTAACTTTGTTTAAGCTTTTATATTGTTAGGAGGCCAACACTCTCTAAGAGGCTGACACCCACGGAAGCTGAGCTTGCCACTGATTGGTGGCAAGCTAGTAAGCGTTTTTTTGATGGAACGGTTGATGAGCAGCCTCCACTTCGGGAGCCATCACCTCGCCCAGAGCTATCACCTCACCTAGAGCCATCATCTGATCGACCCTGCTATACACCTCCACAACGACAGCCATCACCTATTCTTTCACATCATCGAGCCTCTTCTCCACCATCACCGCAAGATAGGTGACCGGCAAAGATGCCATGACGTTTATCTCCCTGTTCTCCACCTCCACCTCAACGGGATGAGTTAGGGGAGTTACGTGATGAGGTCAATGCCTTGCGTGAGGAGGTCGGTACTTTACGCAAAGACGATGGTGCATGGCGTGTTGAGGTGTCTACATTACGCGGTGAGGTAGCCGCTCTACGTGAGATGGTAGCATCGTTGCAGAATGAGGTTCATACTCTACGCAACGAGGTAAGTTTAAGATTTTTCATACTCGTAATTCATTCGGTTACTGCCAATCTATTTTTGTTAGTATTTGTTTTTGGTTTTGTTTTTGTCTTTTGGTTGAAGTAATGCAATCCATTCAAGTTTCAATTTGCAGAAGAAGAATAGTTTACTTTCGCAACACGAAAATGACTATCGCAACGCGGAAATGGCTATCGCAATGCGAAATGAAAATCGCAACGACAAAATCGCAACGCGAAATGAAATCGCAACGACAAAATCACAACACGAAATGAAAATCGCAATGCGATTTGTGTTTCGCGTTGCGATTTTGTCCTTGCGATTTCATTTCGCGTTGCGATTTTGTCGTTGCGATTTTCATTTCGCATTGCGATAGCCATTTCCGCGTTGCGATAGTCATTTCGCGTTGCGATTTTAAGTTTCGTGTTGCGAAAGTAAACTATTCTTCTTCTGGAATGTTTATATATGTTGTCCTTTTAAATGTTTATATAAGTGCTTACTTCTGGAATGT